AACACCTCGAGTGTTCGGGACTGAAGGCAAGTGTGGCGTAGGCTTAGAGACTCCTAGGTACAGTTTATACCTTTAAAGTTTCCTCTGACACTTGTCTTTCATGTCTCAGATGTTTGGGAACAAGCCAGAAATAGTAGAATTCAGGAGTCATTCTGATGAAGTCGAGGTTGACTCATGGACGAGGAGGTCGAGCCCTTAATAGTGGTAGATTGGATGTGAACAATCAAGGGGGACCTAGCCCAAATCATGGAGCAATATGGGATCTCCACCTTGTTGAGCCATAACTTGGATCTTTCACGTCGACGACCTCCTTCTGGATGTGCTGCTATTTTTGAACTAGGGATGGACACGGGTTGGGTTGGGTTGGGTCGGGGTCGAGGTCGAGGTCGAGGTCGAGGTCAGGGTCTGAGCCTGTCCACGAAACAGGGATTTAGGGGAATCCCCAAATTTGGCCTGCGGGGATGTGGGGAATTTGATGCGTACCGAGCGCAACAAAAAATTAAATTACTTTACTCACAACATGTATTTGCAGCAAGTACCGGTCGATCTAGAGAGACTGGCTAATCAAATTACCTAACTTAATATCACAATAAATTAATGAAAAAATGGGGAAATTTTATTTCAAAAATTAAGTGACATAAGAATAATTACTAATAACAAGAATTAAGTAAAGAAAATTGAATCAAAGACGATCTCGATTCAAGGAAAATTACCCATGGTCATTTATTGATCATTGACTTTTATTATATATTATTCTTTAATTGAATATTTAATCAAAGATTATCAAGAAGCCATACAATCTTCACCTCCCCTAAGTATGTTAATCTGAGCCTAGCAAACAAATTAGTTCTTATCAATAAACCAATTGGTATTAAGCAATCCTTATGAATTTACTAATAGCATTACAAATTAGGAAGGAGTTAAAGATGAATAACAATCGAACAAGCATCATATTATTTAATTCATTCCACGTTTCTTTTAAGCAATCAACAAAAGCTTGAATCACAATTGTTTTGCTTAATTACTACTCTAACTAAATATTATAACAATTACGGATTATAAATTCAGTTTAGTACTCGATCAAACAATCAGTCAATTAGCAAGCCTCTTTAATCAATTAAATCATGCAACTGTTAATTAAAAAAAAAAAAACATCGATATACGAATAGAAGAATAACTAAGATTAAGAACAAAGTCTCACAATTATGGTAATCGAATTGGAGTTTCCTTGAATCAAACTAAAGAATTTAACTAGACATGATGGGATGAAAAGCACGAAGAAAAAGAAAATAAAATTACGTTATGTCTCCCAAAATCTCCTTACCCTAGCAGCCTAAAAGTTATATTTATGCACCAAAAGAAATGTACAAGGGCTGCCCCCTTAAGAACCAACTCCTAAAATTAAGGCAATCAACTAAACCCTTGAGGAAAACACGTCTTTTCTCTCTCTTCAAGTTTGCCCTCAATTTGTGCAAGCAAACTTCCAGCTAAGACACATGAATTCCCAGCCCTTAAAACTTGTATTGAACTCCCTCTTAAAGCTGGACCAAGTCTTTATATGAGCTATATAGAAATAATCCAAATCAACTAAGGATTAAAGCCTCTAGACTAAAGCAGTAACTTCCAGGCCAGTTTTGGATAGGACAACGAGCTTTTTGGAATTTAGCCCCTTCATAAGAATTGTAGTTCAAGATGTGTACTTCAATTTGGACTATTGAATTACCTCATTTGAATTTCGGAAGCTCTAGTGGTCATACAAAAATCCTACTCCAATTAGGATTCAATTTTAGTTTTCAGCTCTAAATTTATTTCACATTTGGAGGCCCAAACGAAGTTTTCTCTGGACGTGCCATCCCAACTTGGAAAGCTTAAGATGTCTACTTTAACTTCATAGAAGGTCCAAAAAACAAACTGTAATTCTAAATTGATCAAAAACCTGCAAACGTCCCAAAACATCCAAAAGTAACAAATGCTGGAAACTTCTGATTTAATGTATATTTTGCTAACGCTTTCCTACAAATGTCTTATACATAAAATCGTCACAAATAAGCACCATAAGACATTAAACATGCTTAATCAACTAAATGCAAGGATAATGAAAAATAAAAAAATTATAAGTTTATCAAAGTCCTGGGCCCAACTCAGCCCACCCTGAATTGGGAGATTTTGCATTTGCAGCCTACCTTATTTTTTTCTCCACGAATTTTGATTGTTGTAAAATAATATTAAGTTTTGTATCTGTTGAAACTTAATCACAAATTAGTAGCAAAAGAGCAGGGAAAATAGCAGAAAAGCTAGCAGCAAAACAGTGGAAATAGCAACAAAATAGTAGAAGAATAGCAGCAAAACTAGTAGAAGAACAACAACAAAACACAACAGTGAAACAACAATGATACAGCAGTGAAACAACAACAAAACAGCAACGTCAAGGTGTGCAAAATCACTGTCCTTAAGATCAGAAGTCCGCCCCTACTGGAAGAATCTTCGTGGTGCAAAAAAGGCTCGATAGCGGACTGGCCTCTAGGTACAATGACGAATCTCCTTTTAGAGTGCACACTCTAAGAGAGATTTAGAACAGTATAAGGAAATGTAAAACACAGAGGAAACAAGGATTTTTTCAAGTGAAAATTATGTCTTACAAATGAGAAAACCACCCCATTTTATGCTTGAAAATCTGCCCGTTTTCCCTTAACTCATTCTTGCTGTAACAGAAGCCATTCAATTGCTTTTAAAACCATAATAGCTCAAGAATGATTTGAATTGCAATAACTGCAGCAATTCAATTGCTTTTAATACATAACACTCCAAAAGTAATTAAAATATTTAATTGCTTTTAATACATAACAGTCCAAAAGCAATTAAAACTTGGTATTTTGAAATACCATAACAGAAACTATATCACAGTATCAATGTAATATATCATTATATTATAATGAACTTAAATTTGATTCCAAATTAACCATTCTTTACATTGATACACATTAATCTACGTTTCATTTGAGATGAAGATTCTTGATGTTTTAGCATAAATAGTCTACATTTTGTTAATTAACACTAGATGTAAATATAAAGATCACATTTTCTTATTTCGCGAAAATAAAAATTGAAGCTCACAACATCCTTTCATTTCCCATGATAAAAAATTGAAAAAAAAAAAAAAACCTAGAATTGGGTAGCACCCTCTCTAAGCAAGACAGTTCAGTAGTTTTGACGAAAGCAAAAAAAAAAAAACCTAGAATTGGGTAGCACCCTCTCTAAGCAAGACAGTTCAGTAGTTTTGACGAAAGCAAGTGCAAATAGATAAAGAAATAGAGCTCTAATGTCTCATAGGGATGGGCATAATCCCCACCAAGTCGGGGACCCAGCTCGACTCCGACCCGAACGGGGTAGTGTTTTCTCAAATTGTTCGAGGTTCAGGTCGGGCTTGAGCTGAAAATCTGTACTCGAATTCGAGGACGGGATTGGTCTTGCCCCGGCCCGGCCCCAAATTGTCCCTACCCTGAATTCCCTAACTCGGCTCGTACAATATTATTAATTAATTAATTAATATTATTATTATATATAAATATTTGTAGTAAAGTTTAATTTTAACCATTTAATCCTATATCAATTTCAATAGTTGAAAAATCAATCAATGAAGCCATAAATTATACAAGAACAAATTATAATTGTGAGTATTTTATAAAACCATGTACAAATGAATAATAAATAATAATAGATAAAATATAATGAATCATTATAAATATCTGTAATACATAATAAATATGTTATATATGTATAATGTATATGTATCTATATATATATATATATATATATATATAGATATATATATATATATATATATATATATATATATATATAATCATATGTTAATATATAATATATATGTTATATACATTATACATTATACATAATATGCTATTATATGTAATATGTTAATATATATTTTATATATGTATAATGTATCATTTGATATTTTGATTTATTATAATAAATTGATAAATTATTATATATATATATATATATTTTTTTTTTGTCCTTGATTGAATCATTATTTCAATTCCACTACCTAATTGCCCCTGTTATATTATGGTAGTTATTTATTTAGAATTTATTATAATATATATGTATAATATATCATATGTAATACATTATATATAATGTTATGTATTCACTACTAGAAAAACCCCCTTCCTTGACATAATGAGTTGATAGATTTTCTTGACTGTTCTAAAAAATTGTCAAGAATTATAAGCTTGTTGACAGTTTATGAACTGTCAAGAATTTGAAATAATCCTTGACCGTTTTAGATGATTCTTAACAGTTATTAACTATCAAGGAATTGGTTAAAAATAAATTTTGTGAATCTTATTCTTAATTGTTGTAGTCTCAATTGTTGACAAACCAAAAAAAAAAAAAAAAAAAAATAAACTTGCCTAAAACTTTTCTCGCCCGTTTTCATTAATTATTCCCACTATTTTTTCCTAAAACTTATGATACTCGCTATTTCACTCATTTGTGCAAACCCTCATAGTTAACCTATTTCCAGCATTGGAAAAAAGTTCTCCTTTCTACCACTCTCGTTCAGTAGATGATGACTTGCTCATTGACTCTAGTGCTTACTCTGCGCCTATTCCAACGGAGATTATTAACTTCGGTGAGTTCTTGGCGAGCCGTATCCCAACACTCAAATGTAAGAGTGTTTAGAAAAATATAGAAATCGTCCGAAAATTTGGTTCGGTGTTTGTCTACAGAAATACAAAAAACCAAATTTCTGATTTTATTAAAAAAAAATTAAAAAGTAAACAATTTTTCCTTAGAATTAAAAAGTAAACAAATTAAAAGCTCCCTAAATCCTTACAATTAAAGAAAAACAATTGCCCATGAATTGTTTGAATCGTTAAAATTAAAAAAAGTGAAAAAAAAAAAAAAAAAAAAAAGTAAACCCAGTTATACAAAATCCCCAAACAAATTTTACCCTACGACGCAAAACACTCTCTACTTGTCCACTCCGTTCGATCTTCCCCTTCGTTGTTCCCTGAAATCTCTTCTTCTCCAGTTGTCCTTATCGGTTTGACTGTCGTACGTCGAACCTCATCCGTTTTCAATCTTTTCACTGCCGGCTTCTATGCCAAATGCTCTTACAACAGCCGGCAGCCACTCTTTGTCAGTCATCTGTAAAAGGTATTTCAGTCCTCTTCAATTTGTTTCTTTAATTTGTTTGTGGATGTGTTGATTCTCGGCTGCTTAATGGAATGCTGTCATTTGATTTGCGTTCATGGCGTCTCACAATCTCAACAAGCAACTCAAAGAACAGTCGCACCCTGTCTCTCGCAATTAATTCTCCAACTCTTTCACCATTTCGTCTAAATTTTTCTTCTTTTCTTCTCTTCTCTTCAGATTCGTTAGGAATTTGACTGGATCTTCTTTTACCAAAATCTTTGTGCTTCTAGCAATTGTACCTGTAAGTTGCACATTTTCTTTTTTAGATTTGTTCTCACTGCTTCATTGATTGATTGATTTACATTTTATTTTGTTTTCAGACTTCAATACTTCTGCGACAGTCCTTCAACACTTATCACTCAATTGGTAAATTAAATTTAAATTACCAAGCTAGTGTAGAATCTCTGAACAAACCAGACCTTGTTTCACTAGACGAATTTTACCGTAACGAATTTCTCGACAACAACTCCGTCGCCTTATCCACCACGAATTTTATTCTCTTTCTCTCTGTTTGTGTTTGTATACATGTAGGTTCTTATTTAGTTCCTTGTGGGTGTTGAGGAAAGTGGTTAAAGTTTCGAAATTGTGTGTCTTGATGAGTAAAATTTTCGTTTTTTGGTAATTTTATCATTTCTGTCTTGGGTCTTAGAATGTGAAGATTGAAATTTAATGTTAATATGGTACCTTTCTTTCTTTTTTATGTTAATTTATGTGATTTTTGTTTCTATTTATTCGTTTAGTTAGACTTTCTTTGTCTTTGTGATACTGGGTACCAGATGCCGCTGGCTCTTTTTGGGTTTATCTCAAGTTTGGCGATTTAGGATTTGTTCAAGTTCTATAGTGATAAATGGAAATTTGATCGATATCCTCTGATTCGTCAAGTTTTGGTTCGTATTGCGCAATGTGGTGAGTTATCATATCTTCCAGAAATGGCTGTCTTCAATGAGAGAACTTGATATGGTCTTCTATATATATATATATATATAGATTATGGCATCAATATATGATGATGAATATATATATAGACATTATATATATATATATATATATATATATATTATATATATATATATATATATATATAATGCTTAGATGGTGAATTGGTGATTGAATATATATATTCTTTAATATATAAGTAGGGGAAACAACTTACACCTACCCAAGATTTGACAAAATGATAGATTGGTACCTAAAAGGTTTGAAAATAACAAACATGTACCTTCCATCATATGCGGTTAGTGATTTTCGTTTGCTAATGATGAAAAGACTAGAATGCCCTTGAATGTTTGATATTTTAGTTTTTTAAAAATTTATAAAAAACTCCCTAGATTTGCTAATTTAACTAAACACCCTAATATATAAAAATTTTGTAAAATAACAAAAACACCCCCATCACCCGCAGTGCCAGATTTCGGCCACCACAGATCGGTTGGATCTGGTGCATGGGGTGTTTATATGGTCTTTTTAGGCCAGATCCATCACGGATTTGGCCGGAAAAGGCCAGATCTGGCCATCGACGGTCGTAACACTCCATCTTTGGTCATCAGTGACGACCAAAGATGTGGCCGTCGTTGTCTGTCAACGATGGCCAAGATTTGGCTGCGTTGATAGTCGACGACGATCATTTCTTTGGCCGCCACATTCCGGCCAAATTTGGCATTTTCCGGTCAAATCTGGTCTTTTCCTACCAGATCTACAGTGGATCTGGCCGAAAAAGGCCATAGCGGTGATTTACCAGTCATTTCCGGTGGTGGTGTAGACTGTTGTGACAGTTCTGGCTACCACCGGAGGTGGCTGTCGGAATCTAGCAAGTATGGGTAGGTGGGGGTGTTTTTGTTAATTTTTAAACTTTTTTCTGAGAATATTTGATGAAATTAATAAACTTAAGAGGTGTAAAAGTAATTAAAAAAATAAACTAATATTTCTTAAAGGGTATTCTAGTCTTTTTATTATTAGTAAACGAAAATCACTAACAGCACATGATAGAAGTAGACCTGGCAAAACGGGTGGGTGGGCCGGGTACGGGTCGGGTAAAACGGGTACGGGTAAAACGGGTACGGGTCTTATACGGGTGGATATATACGGGTCCAATATTTTGGACCCGTGCCCTACCCTATACGGGTACGGGTGGACCCGCGGGTGGACCGTTTTTTCTCTCTCCAGCTTTTGGTTTTGACAGTTTCACCCCTAATAGTTTTCAATTATGACAATTATACCCCCAAAATTCCTACAGTTTTAATTTTTTACATTTACACCCCCTAAATCAACTACTCTAAATTCAATTCAATTAAGAATATAAACAAATATGAACCAAAAAAAACAAATAACACATAAACAAACAATAACATATAATACAAAACTACAAATACCAACCAAAACAAACAAATACAAAATCACTAATACACAATTACACATAAACAAACCAAATAAGTCAATAAACTATAAATACAAATTAAAATAAACAAATACATAATCCAATATTCAACAAAAAAATTATTAAGACAGCAAATGTTCATTCTACAGTGGGCGTGATAGAGATCAGATCAGAGATGAGATTGAGAGTATGAGACTGAGAGAGTGAGAGGCGTGAGCGTGACTGCTGTGCTGCGTGAAAAAAATTAGGGATTCAAAAAATTAAAAACGATTTTTGCAAATACGGGTGCCCGCGGGTGCCCGCGGGTTCACCCGTATAAACCATTTTTTTTAGGGCTGGGTACGGGTACGGGTCTAAAAAAATAGGTTTAATAAATTGGACCCGTACCCTATATTATTTACCTGGGTACGGTCCAACCTGCGGGTCCAGATCCGTTTTACCAGGTCTAGATAGAAGGTACCTATTTATCGTTTTTAAATTTTTTAGGTACCAATCTGTTCCGCCAAACCTTGAGCAGGTGTAAGTCGTTCAGCCTATATAAGTATCCCTAAATTCTCTTACAATCGTACCACGGGATCTGTTGCTTTATTAATGAACGTTCAATTCTCAGTTGTCGCATCTCAGTGCACATCAATGGTCTTCCACACCAACATTCATTATTAGCTACTCGTCAACTGTTATTTTCACCATCCAAGGTGTTAAAGACTTTCTCATAAATCCTAGCTTTTGCGGCCCTGTGCATGAAACATGCCAAATGCCACACTCGCCATAGTGATACGTCCAAGGGCGGACCCACATGGGGTCACGTGGGGTCAAACGACCTCACTTGGGTTTTATTTTTTAATTTTTTTCAATTTTATCCTATAACAAAACTAAATTACATTAAACTAAATTAATTAAAAATTTTAACTTTCTTTAATAATATTTTTTTTTCCATTTTTTCCCTAATACCAAATTTTTCTCTAGCCCATCGTGCCCCACTCCATCTTTCCAATCCCTATTTTTCAAAAAATATATTGAAATTGATACAATCACTTAATTTTGTGTTTAATCTATTTATGATAAAAGATTTACTTAGCTTTACAAATGAACTTTTTCAAGCAATACAAAGAAAAGATCAAAATATTGTAAATGCTATGAATTTGGTTGAAACGTGTAAACAAGCTTTACAATTGATGATGGATAGTGGATGAGATAATTTACTTAGCAAAATTTGTTCTTTTTGTGCCAAACATGACAGTGATATTCCAAATATGGATGAAATTTTTTTTTATTCAAGGGCAATCACAACGGAAGACTAAAGGTATCACAAACGTGTATCATTACTATATTGAAGTATTTTATAGTGTTCTAGATATGCAGCTTCAAGAATTGAATAATCGTTTCAATGAGGTAAACACTGAATTACTTATTTGTTTGGCATGCTTATGTCCAAATGAAAATTTTGTTGTTTTTTATAAGCAAAAATCGATGCGCCTTGCTGAGTTTTATCTAGAAGATTTTTTTTGACTTAGAACTCATGACACTTGATTCTCAATTTGATATTTGCATTTTGGATATACGCTTTAATGTTAAATTTATGGAATTGAATGGGATTGGAGATCTCGTAGGAGTAATGGTTGAAACTAAGAAGGATAGAGTGTTTCTATTAGTTTATCTGTTGATAAAATTAACATTAATTTTACTGGTTGCCACTACTAGTGTAGAGAGAGCATTTTCAGAAATGAGTGTTGTGAAGAATCGTTTGCAAATAGAATGAGTGATCAATGATTGAATGATAGTTTAGCTGTGTATATAGAGTATAATGTATTTGATAGTATTGATAATGAAGTCATTATACAATATTTTCAAAAGATGAAATCTCGTCAAGGATAATTATAAATGTGTTAGTTATTTTATTAATACAAATATTAGTGTTTATTTTTATTTTTATTTATGTTAATCGTTACTTTAACCTTTGACCCCCATAAGTTTCATTCTTGGGTCCACCCTTGGATATGTCCCTCTTCCATGGCATATTAAAGCCTCGCTAAAAGGCCAAACTATTCTCCACTTCCCAACGCGGCTTAGCCTTTCATCTTATGAATCCTCTTCTTGCTTCTAAGAAACTGCTCTTCGAGTACACAACACGCTGTCATTCTGTTCTAGTACATTATCCCTGTATGCGTCTCTTTTTCTCTCTAGTTTCTATTTACATTTTGCTAAGCCACTCCAAAGGTTCTATTTATATTAGAAAAGAGAAGGCAAAGTGAATGAAAAAGCATTACTCTCAAACGCACTTCTAATCAAAACGTGTAGGCGTTTTTTTTGTCTTCTATAAAACGTGTCTTCCTCTTTCCCATTTATTTCTATAATCAAGTGTTGATTCTAGATTTTGACACCAATGACTTACACGTGCAAAGAAATCACAGGTGATAAGGAAACATGAAATGAGGCAATGAACGGGAAGCGATATTTAAAGTGGTTCAGATGCTCAAAAGTGAATCCTACATCTACTGTTATTGCATTAATAGATGGGTAAAATCAGGTCGCGTGTGGTGAGCTGAGTTACAATCTAGATGAAATACAGAGAGATAGAGAGAGAGACAAAGAGACAAAGAGAGTGTGTGTGTAAGCTGTTTTAGACTAAGATCAACCAATCCCGTAAATGAGAGGGGTGTCCTCTATTTATATTAGGAGAGTTCAAGGTAATGATTACAAGTCTGCAAGTGGGTAGGTGCCGTCCACATCCTTTCTTGCACCCCATTGGTTATCTGCACGAGAAATATCCTCAAATTACGCAGGGCTTGGGTAGGTGGATAATCCCTGGCCACTTGCAAGCTTGTCATTCACCTGCTGCATGACAAGAACCATACCCCTTTCGTCACTGCGCGACGTGGCAGTGCCTGGACGGCACAAAACCTTACTAATGAGAGTCCACGTTAGTCCTAACTTTTTAGGCATAACAGAAGTCTCCCAGTTTTTAAGGTTTAAGAATTGAACCTTGAGAACTTCATGATTATGCAACGACTTGACTTGCCCCGAATGACGTTTGGCCGAGCTGATTGAGCTATAAGGAGTTCACAGCACATATCTCTAAGGGTCGTACAAGCGACCTGAGGTGGGCTTCTTCCACAAGTTCAACGAGTTGGATCAGGCCCCACCCAGTGTCGTACCAATGTGGTTCAGATCTCATCCGCGGTTTGCGACTTGAGAATACTTAGCATATATTTACCAAGGACAAGGAATCACATTGTCTCGAAACTGATACGCGGTGAAGAGTATTCTACCAAAATGACCTCTTCAGATGTTATCCGTTACG